AAAAAGCAGAGCTAGAGAGTTAGAGAGAAATTCTGTAGATAGTAGACTTTGTATTAAGGAAATAGAGAAGCAAATTAGGGTTGTATATTGCCTTGTAGCAGTTTTAATTTTTTTTTAAATCAAGGAGCATTGTTAGAATAATGCAAAAGTCTGTTGACCAAAGCAACCTTCTACTGTACACACGAAACTTGTTTAATGTAACATTTTCACACTATCTTTTCAGAAGATTTTGAGAAGAATTTTCAAGTTTTATGCCAATCACTTCACAGCCCTAAGAGTTTTACAGAAGTCAGAAAGTAATGAGTAACTAACACTCTTTGCAACATTTACTCACATAAATTACTTTGGGGGAGGAGGGTTACAACAACATCCATAACAATCTACCTTAAAAACAACTTTCCAAGTACCCAACAGAACAATAAACAACTGAACTGCTGAATAGCTCAATGAGAGATGACACACCACCCCAAACCAACCCGTTTCTTTCCGCGCTTCCCTTGTAATGGGCGGGAAGGTAGGCCAAGGGCAGGGGATTGTGGGAGTTGTAGTCTAAACCTTTTGGAGCGCCCCTGCCACCCCCTTCTTGAAGCAAACTGTTATACTCAAGCCACTGACATGCTGCCCTTTTCGCCTTCACTGAACGGAATCTCAGGGTTCAGGGAGAAAGAGGAGCGGCTGACTTTCCGCAGTGCGTTCGCTTGTCTCTCTATGACAGCCCCGTGGATTTTGCCCTCAGCGCTCTCAGTTCAATTTGAGAGCTTTCTCTCCCAGAGGATTTGCACATAGCACACAGTGTACACAGAAGACAGGGGAAGATCTCAAGTTCATCGTCCCTCAAAGCCATTTAAAGTTGGCCAGGTGAACTTTCTTCCCCCCTGACAGCCAGCTAGCCACAACAGGACAACAAGAAAAGCTGCCAAATTCCCACCCACCCAGGATGACCCGAGCCAGCCCCATCCCTAGAAATCCTGCCACGCCACCCCAAACTGACCCGTTTCTCTCCGCGTTTCCCTTGCAACGGGCGGGAAGGCAGGACAGACAAACGGGGCTCGTCTCTCCCTCCCCACCCAGGTGCAAGACCGCGCTTCACCGGGCGAGGACGGGGACCCGAGAGACCCTTTCCTTCCCCCTGATCCACACTTGGTGCTCCCCTAAGGGAGAAAGGCGAGACGTGGCAGGCAGAAAGAGCTGGAGTGCCTGGCGGTGCCGGCACCGGATCCACTGCCAGCACCGCGGCTGCAGCCACCTTCCCAGGTTTGGCTCGCTCCAGCGCCCCCCTACCGCCCCCCTTCTGTTCTGCCGCCCGCACACCACCCCTTTTCATTCTACCGCCTCCTGAAAAATGAAATCACCCCCTGGGGGGCATTATCGCCCACGTTAAGAACCACTGCTTTAAGGGAGCTTATTAATGGATTAAGTTTATTATGCTAAAGGAACAAGTTCATTTAAGTTAATTAAAGTTAATTAATTAAGGAAAATAGCAAGCTGTGACTAAGCTGTGACTAACATGATTCTTATGTGCGATTTCCCCCCCTTGTGGGGATTTCTAAGATCTCAGTTTTCTTTATAATGGGACACACACACCCTTTTTTCTCTCCTTTAAATCAGATTTACAGCAAGTACAACAGTTCCCAGTGGGACAGTAGCTGTCATCCTGATATTCCTCTAGAGGAAAACGACATTGTAGTGCAAAGAGAAGCAGATCACGTTGGCATATCCACTACCAGTGGGGCATCATTTTCATGTGACCTTCGTTATGACCTCTGTACTCTTACTTTGGATGGATGGCATCATGGTTGGTCTGAAATGTTTGGTCTTTCCAGCTACATGGCTGGGCTACTGTCCAGCGAAGGCTAGTCCATTAGAGCAAATGCAGTGATGCCCTGCTCTAAGTATCCTCGTGGCTACAAACGGTGGTGCCTTTTGCACCCTCTGCCCCAGCAGAATAAGCATGCAAGTATATTGCTCAGTTCTGTTAAATGTTAAGGAGCTGTCCTTTAGTGTCATTTCAAAGGAGGTGGTCCAGGACAAAACCAGAATTGGTTGGCACTATCTGCTGTTGATTGAGGCTTCCCGTGCATTAGTCAACCTTGTCCTATCAGTCCCAATGGACATCAGTCGCCACTGATGGCATTGACACCTGGTATCTTTGAGCACCTTTTATCCCTAGTCGAGGGACTCATTTCAAAGCTTTCCTAAAGGTTCTAACCCCCTTGCTGTTAAAAAAAAGTAGCATAGAGATCCCATAGTTGTGACAAAGATGCCCTTGAAGGTTTCTAAGAATTGTCTCTTTTTTCTTTTAGCCACGTCTGCTGGCCTTTTGGGTACCAATGACAATGAAGCTGGCAATGAATGGATGCTTCCCAATCACTCCTATGCAGACAGCTTAGAGGAATTCATTGGTGCATGGCAGGTAAGCTAGCAGGGGTGGACTATGGAGGCTATTTTTTTAAAGAGAGGATACTTGGCCCTTGTGCTGTCCAAATAAACCTTTTAACCTAATAATGGCAGTCATGTCCCCAGGGTGATAGGAATCCATCCTAAGCAGCAGATCCTGAGTGGTGGTCAAAAGGCAGCAGTTTCAGCCCATGACCGTTCGCTGTCTCTCCTATAGAAGCTTTGGGCACAAAAGAAAATATATACCTAAAATCTATGGTGTGACTCACATGGCCATAAGTCCCATAATGTTCTGTTTCATTCCCAAGTATAGACTATAGAACCCACTCACAGAACCATACAGAGTCACTGGTGATCAGTCAACACACAAGATGTTATCATAAATACCAACAAAAGCCTAGATATGTACATATTGATGGGCACATTTGACCCCTCAAAATAAAGTCCCAGTGTGTACATATAATTTCTATCCCAAGGTACAGATAAGATACAGAGCGCATGTTTGCACAAGAGTTGCTCCTGTCTGTGTACCTGAAGCGTGCATGTTTGCTTTTCCCCCAAGGTAAGCGACCACTGCAGCCAAGCAAAGAATGCTGAGAAGCTGTGTGTCAACACATCTGGCTCCAAAATCTGCAAAACTTTTTTCCAAGACTTCAACTCCCCCTTTAGGAATTGCTTCAGAGTCGTAAGTCCCGTTCTCAAAATATGGCACAAGATCTGAACTCATATGCATGTTCCTCATATGCTTTTACAACACATGGACTCAGAGAAAGGCAAGCATGTACATGGCTCTGTAGCCTTTCTAGTTCGGGTGGGGGGCACCAGGAGGCCTGGCTGGGTGGAGTCATGTTAAAGCCCAGGAACAACATTTTGTTACCCAGAAAAATGCTTTGTTTCGCAGTCCTAGTGTCTTGCCAAAGAAGGTAAAGGTTCCCCTTGACAATTTTTGTCCAGTTGTGTTCAACTCTGGGCACCGCCGCTCATCCCCGTTTCCAAGCCATAGAGCCAGCGTTTTGTCCGAAGACAATCTTCCGTGGTCACACGGCCAGTGCGACTTAGACACGGAACGCTGTTACCTTCCCACCGAGGTGGTCCCTATTTATCTACTCACATTTGCATGCTTTCGAACCGCTAGGTTGGTGGGAGCTGGGATGGGCACTCCCTCCGGTGCGTGGATTCGATCTTACGACTGCTGGTCTTCTGACCCTGCAGCACAGGCTTCTGCGGTTTAGCCCGCAGTGCCACCACGAGAAGGTAGCAGCATATAAATCAGGGATCAGTGACACCCGGTCCAAGAGCTGTTATTTTGTGGCCACCACAACTGCTAGTGGAACTGCTCATTTGAAATCTAGTGGCAGCTCAAAAATCAATGTTTTAACTTTCCTTTCTGGAAAGTGAGGAAGCCCTCTGTCCTTCCACTCTGCAAGGCTCTACAGCACCAACAGGCATAGCGACACCCTCCTGTCCCATAGAGTGCATCCACAAGGGCTGCCAAATTGAGCCAGAATCTGAAGGTGGCCAGAACACTTTGGCAGTGTTTTTTCTTCTTCTTTCCTGTTAGGTTTGTATATATTTTATAACATTTTGGTCTTTAAAAAAAAAAAAAAGTCTTCCTTCCTATAGACAGCGAAAACTGGACAGTTTCTAACTGGAAGCCACCTATACAACAGACATGTCTCATAATGTTGTGAAATCACGCCCCAAATCCTGTTGGTGTTAAGTTATGCCACAGAGCCAGGCAATGCCATCATCCAGCACCCGTAATATTTAACTTAAGTGAAATTGAAAGCTTCCTACCCCCCAGTTTCAGGTTTGGAGGCTCCCTACGGCTGCCTTTCGCCCTGGGGGAGCCTTTAATAGCCCAAAACAGCTGCTGGACGATGTTCTCTCTGGTTTCATGACAGAACTTCATGCAGGGATGGGGACTCGTCTCGGGACTTGCGGTCAAGTCAGACTTAAGTCACACCAGCAACTCAACCTGGACTCAACTCTGGGGTTTTTTTCCGACTTGTGACTCAGAGCCCACCCACACCCTCCCTTTTTTGTGAGGGAAAAAGTTTGTTTTTAATAGCGACTTGAACCAGGGGCTTGGGACTCGGGACTAATTGTGAGGGAAAAAGTTTGTTTTTAATAGCAACTTGAACCAGGGGCTTGGGACTCAGGACTAAGTACCAAAGACTCAGACTCAGACTCAAAGACTTGCCAACATCCCTGACTTCATGCCAACAGGACTTTGTCCAGGGTTTATTGACTTTAAAAACTGGGGGGTGGGGGGGCAACCCCCAAGGGGCCAAGGATCAGTTTTCAATTTAGCCAAAAGCTATGGGAGATGTTACAACTCCCCCCCCCAAAAGCCCCCTTAAATTGTACTTTGAAAATCAGTGGTGTGGCTTTCTATCCACTTTCTTACTTACTGGCTATTTTGATATGTTTATTTCAATTAATCATAATTTATCTAGTGATTGAATACTGTTTATTGCTAGTCTTTTTATTTGAAATTCCTATTCTGTACTTTTATTGCCATATTTGAATAAAAACGTCTTCAGCTGGAAGTTAGTCTGTGTTTATTGGGGACTGTTTGTTATTTGTTATTTTCTGTTGCATGAGCTGGTGGTTAGGGACTGTCTAGGCATGTGAGAACTGCAGTTCTGTGATTCTCTGATGCCTAAACAGTCTTTAAACATCAAGGTCTGTAACAGAAAATTGAAAAGAGTTACCAATGAACACAGAAGGATACCAGCTGGACGTCAGTTGAAGACTTCTGTATTTGGTAAAGAGAAGGAAAACACAGAACTACAATTTTACAAAATAGAAAGAATAACATAAGCGTCATTTCATCCATAAAGATATTTAAATAAACATAAAATGGTTGCTGCAAGGTAGCCAGAAAGCCATGTTGCTGATTTTCCATAAGTTTTAAAAAATATGACCAGACTCCTATTGCACATATGTGCCAGCATAGTTCTAATCGGTGTAACTTGCAGCAGTGAGTTACTAACAGGTAATATGTCCACACTGATATTCTGGTTGCATGCCAAGTCACATGTGTGCTGTGTGACAAGAAAACCCAGCAATAACTTCCTAAATGTCAGCAATTAATCACTGAAAGTTTTACCAATATACTAACAAAAGGGGGAGGGGGAACCATGGAGTCCTTGTATGCAATCCAAAGGCAGGGAGGGGGTGATACAATCATTTGGATTGTATACAAGGCCTATAGCATTTGTTAGACTATAAATAGACTCCGGCTGCAACTTCATGGTCAGATACTGTGTGGTTTGCTCCACTGATAAAGTGGGTGAATTCAAAGTTTTGTTTGTTTTTACACTGACCACATGTCATGAAGGCTAATTCAAATTGGTGCAGTCCATTTTTGCTCCCAAAGCAGCCTTCCTCCCCCCGCCCCCCCCGCCGCTGGGGAAAGCTTTTACTTTTTCGAGCTGCAACCATTCAAATAGCCTTTTTTTTGTTTTTGTTTTTGGGGACGAGTTGTGACATATTCTTGTAAAAACCCTGGCTGGATAGCTCAGTGATTTAGGCATCTGGCTGTGGAGACAGAGGTTGGGAGTTCAGCTTAGAGTGTGTGTCTGTAGGTGGTGTTTCAGTGAAGTAGGTGGTTAGGATGTGATTTTCAGGACAAGGGAAACATCCCTACATTCTTTCCTCTCTCCTAATCGTCCTCCTATTTTTTTAAAAAAATCTGTTCCCCACAAGATCAGCAGAAGCAGGACTAGAGAAGAAAGGAAGGCTCAGCAGAGATAGGACCAGAGGAAGGAATGAAGGAAAAAAGGGGGACTGTGGGGTGGAATGCGAATTGCATTGCATCCAGTATGAATGGTGGGCTCCTGAATCAATTGGCAGACCCTTTGTGAGCAGTAAGTGTGATTTCAAATATAATACAGGCTGCAAATCAAATCACAGCACAGTCGAATTGCTCCAATTCAGCTTTCCAGTACAGTATATTCACACCCTTGTGTTGGTGGGCATAAAGAACAGGCTTTTGACCCTGATTTTTAAAATATTTCTGGGGAGTCTTATCCCCAGAAACCAGGGAGGGTTTGTAAGCCTTATCCCTTCTGAAAGGGTAAGAAGTGTTTTTTTCCTACCCACCCCTTCTTCCTAGTACAGTCATGTCCAAATAAAAATGCCCTTGAAACTCATTGGCATGCTCCAGCTGCACATATATCTAATGGAAACAGTAAAATGTGCAGCATTTAATTTGTGTTAGTTGCTCATAAATTGGGTTGAGTATCTTGAGGTGCATCTCTTGTATACATGCGCCCCTTCTGTAGCAAAGAAGGAGGCACTGTTTAACCTGAGCAGATTGCTGTACTTATCAAATTACTTTCCACACTGTTCTTTCCTCTCTCTCTCTTTTCAAGGTGGATCCCGAACCATTCCATAGCCTTTGCGTATCTCACACATGTGAACTGCCCAATATAAAAACACCTTGCACCATGGCTGCTGCATTTGTTCACTTGTGCAACAGGAATTTTGTTCCTTTGGAAATGCCATTTCAGTGTGGTAAGTATTAACTTACTCTGGTCATCTTCAGATAGGCAATATAGTAGAACACAAACAAAAAAGCCAGTTTTTGAACCTAAAAAACAAAATATCAACTCGTGTGACCTTCAAACAGCTACTGCCTAGTTCCCTATCGGGGTGCCTTGACCCTGCTGTAGTAATTTCCACCACAGGTGTCAGGGGAATGTAAGGTGATGTTTCTCACCTTGGAATCCGAAATGTATTTGCTTTAATATGCATAGACAGACACCCTTGGTTGCAGTCATGCCCATCAGCAGGCAACAGACTGAGGGGAGATACAATATCATGCCCTCTGAGAAAATGGCTAGATAATTGGGCATGTTTAGCCTTGAGAAAAATGTCCAAGGGGAGATATGATTGCACTTTTCAAATACTTGAAAGATAGTCATGCAGAGGAGGGGCAGGATCAGTTCTCAGTCATCCCAGAATGTAGGACATATAATAATGGGCTCAGGCATCATGAAGCCAGATTTAGGTTTAATATCAGGGACAACTTAAGTGTTGGAGCAATAAGACAATGGAACCAATGACTTCAGGAGGTGGTGAGTAATCCAGCACTGGAGGCATTCAAGAGGCAATTGGACAGCCATCTGTCAGATCTGCTTTGATATAAATTCCTGCCTTGAGCAGGGAATTGGACTCGATGGCCTTACAGCAGGGGTCCCCAACTCCTGGTCCACAGCCAGGGGTTGGCAGGACTGGGCTGCAGAGACATCTCCTGGACCCCCTGCCCACGGACGCACGCATGGATGCACCCATGCCCCCCACATACACACACAGAAACACGTACTCCCTGCCCACGCACGCACCACCCACAGATGCACGGACACCCCCCACCCCATGCACGCATGCTAAACCAGTCCATGGTGCAAAAAAGGTTGGGGACCACTGCCTTATAGGCCCCTTCCAATTCCATTATTCTATGATTCTATGGATGTAAAGTACAGTGGTGCCCCGCATAGCAAACGCCTCAGTTAACAACGAATCTGCATAGCGATGTGGATTTTGTGATCGCAAAAGCGATCGCATTGCGATGTTTTTAATGGGTAAACATCGCATTGCGATGATCGGTAAGCGTTTCGCTTACCGATTTTCGCATTGCGATGTTTAGAAAACAGCTGATTGGTGGTTCCAAAATGGCCGCCGGGAAAAAAATGGCCACCTGCAGCGTTTTCGCCCCCTTTCCTCACTTACCGGGCAGCAAAAATGGCGGCCGCATGGAGGATTTCCACATAGCGGTGAGTTTTTCCCCCAGCGGAGTTTAATGCGTTCCTATGGGGTTTTTCGTTCCGTGTAGCGACGATTTTCCTGGAACGGATTATCGTCGCTATGCGGGGCACCACTGTATATGAATTCTACCAGCCGAACACAAAACAGCATCTCCCCTGAAACCCCCCCTCCTAAATTCCTGCAATCATACTGGATGACTTCTGACAGATAACTTTAAAAGGGGATGGGACCAATTTATATAAGATAAGATTGTTAACAGTTTCTAGCCATGACAGCTATATATAATCTCTAGTATCAATGGTAGTGTTAACATAGCCAAAAAGTGATTGTAGTGTTTGTGTACCACTTGTGGGTTTCTTGTGAGCATCTGGTTGGCCTCTTTGTGAACAGACTGCTCAGCTAGATAGACCTTGGACATAATCAAACATAGACTCTCTTATGTCCTTAAAACTTCAGACATTTCTGATAATATTTGATTTCTTTCTGTCTGTCTCTCTTTCACACACACATGGCCACACATACAAAGTGTACACATCTCCCTTTTTTTAGATAGGGTGTTTGACCACATCACACTCCCCAAACTAAGAGCATACAAAAGTTCGCTTTTGGATTACAACTCCCTAAATTCCCTGCTAGAATGGCCAGTGTCAACCTCAAGAACTGGTTTTTTAATTTACCTTGCTCCTAAAAAAGGACAGAAAAATATCGCCTTTGAAGGGGCTCTTGACAAAAAGTCCATGTCTTTAGCTCTCATATGAATGCTATGCATAACTCTTTAACTACGAGACAAAATATGAACTACCTGCATCTCAGCAGCAGGCAGTATCTTGGCATGCCTCCAAATTAGTCATAGTTCCTGCATCTGGATGAAAGGGAATATTTGAACAATAGACCAAGAGCCACAGTTACATCCAGCAAACTGGATATACCGTGTTTCCCCGGAAATAAGACAGGGTCTTATATTAATTTTTATTTTTTTTTGCTCCAAAAATACATTGGGGCTTATTTTCAGGGGATGTTTTATTTTAGTCATGTCATCTTCTGGTTGCTGCACAAGTGTGGAGGGCAGGGTTTCACTTAACTAGGGCTTATTTTGGGGGCAGGGCTTATATTACGAGCATCCTGAAAAATCCTTCTAGGGCTTATTTTCGGGTTAGGTCTTATTTTTGGGAAAACAGGGTATATATTCTCAAAGGTTTATATATAATTTCTTTGCCTATCCATGGCTAATGAGTTACTCTCATGGATCACTAAACCAACAGATGGTATAACAATTGGATCAAGATATACTGTACAAAGCAAGAAGCAAGAAGGCACATATTTTGTTATAAAACTGGACTTATTTTTGGCACTCAAAGACCAACATATGGACATTTCACTCTGGGAGTGAATCCAAATCACAAACTCTGAGGCTAAAATTCTCTTACATAATTATGCCAGCTTGACACCAATGGTGTTACCTTTGAAAGCAAATTGCCTCAGGTTGAAAAGATATGTCTGTTGCATGCTGAGTTGCATGAATCAGATATGTACGTAACAAACAGTATCTACTATGATTTTTTAACTTGCAACAATTTGCCTCCAAAAATTACATAGTGTTATGCCACTGTAACTACACAAACGCAGTATGTGCTATTGTTCTTGAGTGCTGAAAACAAGAAATGACAGACAGCAGGAGAATGTTGATGAGCCAGCGTCACCAGACAGAAAATACAACTTCACGTTTTTCTAGATTATTTGGATTAGTTTATTTTGTATTTGGTCTTACAGTAATTGGAATACTGAATTGTTATATTTCCATTTTACAGATGGAGAACTGAGGCTGAGAAATAGCAGCTTGCCTAAGGCCACACATTGAGACCAGAGTAGAGGAGAGACCCATGGTCAGACGTCCTGTAACCCAAAGCAATTTTTAAACTACATGATAACAAACTGATTATTAATTTACACATTTTCCCACTGTCTTGGAGATTTAAGTAGGAAAATTTGATGCAGCGGCCCAATCAGGAAATGAATTAGTTCCATTACAATGCTTAGTTTTTAGAAGTAATTTTTTGCTTTCCCATTATTCAGAAGTAATTAAAATTATGATGTGTACTTTTATGAAAAAGGTCAGAATGTAGAAATGTAGGAGCCACACCTAAGCTGTGAGGCTACATTTTCTATTAAATGTCATTGAAAAAATTACAAAAAAAGTGAAGTTATTGCCTCACAACCCTTTTAGAATTCTTTGAAAAGGTGGATTCAGGCGAACCAGTGGATATTGTCTATCTGGATTTTTAGAAGGTGTTCAACATGGTGCTTCACCAAAGGCTGCTGAGAAAACTCCACAGTCAGGGGATAAGAGAGCAGGTCCTCTTATGGACTGAGGATTGGTTGAGAACCACGGTCAAGAGAATAGGTGTCAATGGGCAATTTTCACCATGGAGAGAGGTGCAAAGTGATGTGCCCCAGGGATCTGTCCTGAGACCAGTGCTTTTCAGCCTGTTCATAAATGACCTGGAGACAGGGATAGGCTGTGAGGTGGCCAAGTTTGCAGATGACATGAAAATTTTCTGAGTGGTGAAGACCAGAAGGGATTGTGAAGCGCTCCGGAGGGATATCTCCAAAGTAGGAGAATGGGCATCAAAATGGCAAATGTGTTTCAATATAGGAAAATGTAAAGTAATGCCCATTGGAGTGAAAAATAAAAACTTTAGTTATTAGCTGATGGATTCTGAACTGTAATGGATCAGGAAAGAGCTCTTGGTATGCTGGTGGACAGCCTGATGTCAACCCAGTGTACGGCGGCAGTGAAGAAGGCCAATTCCATGCTAGGGATCATTTAAAAGGATTGAAAATAAAACAGCCAAAAGAACAGACAAAAGAAAATATTTCTTTACTCAGCGTGTTGTTAGTCTGTGGAACTCCTTGCCACAGGATGAGGTGATGGCATTAGATGCCTTGAAAAGGGGATTGGACAGATTTCTGGAGGAAAAGTCCCTCGCAGGTTACAAGCCATGATGGGGATGTACAATCTCCAGGCTTAAAAGGAAGGTACTTCAAAATGCCAGATGCAGGGGAGGGGGGATCAGGAGACAGGGATCTAATTGTCTCTTGTGCTCCCAGAGGTATCTGGTGGGGCCACTGTGAGAGACAGGAGGCTGGACCAGATGGGCCCTTGGCCTGATCCAGCAGGGCTCTTCTTAGGTTCTTCTCCTTTGTTCAGTTAATTACAGCTAAGGGCCAGGATGTTATTTCATACCTCTGCTGGACCTACTGCTGCCTCAAGCACTTGCAGTCACCCCTTCTTCCTGAAGCCTTTCTCACCCAGGCAGCCTGAAAACCTGCTCTTGTTGTTGTTGTTTAGTCATTTAGTCGCGTCCGACTCTTTGTGACCCCATGGACCAGAGCACGCCAGGCCCTCCTCTCTTCCACTGCCTCCCGGAATTCGGTTAAATTCATGTTGGTCACTTCGCAGACACTGTCCAACCATCTCATACTCTGTTGTCCCCTTCTCCTCTTGCCTTCACACTTTCCCAACATGAGGGTCTTTTCCAGGGAGTCTTCTCTTCTCATGAGATGACCAAAGTATTGGAGCCTCAGCTTCCGGATCTGTCCTTTCAGTGAGCAGTCAGGGTTGATTTCCTTCAGAATGGATAGGTTTGTTCTCCTTGCAGTCCAGGGGACTCTCAAGAGTCTCCTCCAGCAACACAATTCAAAAGCATCAATTCTTTGGCTGTCAGCTTTCTTTATGGTCCAGCTCTCACTTCCGTACATCACTACAGGGAAAACCATAGCTTTGACTATTCAGACTTTTGTTGGCAAGGTGATGTCTCTGCTTTTTAAAATGCTATCGAGGTTTGTCATAGCTTTCCTCCCAAGAAGCAGGCGTCTTTTAATTTCGGGGCTGCTGTCACCATCTGCAGTGATCATAGAGCCCAAGAAAGTAAAATCTGTCACTGCCTCCATATCTTCCCCTTCTATTTGTCAGGAGGTGATGGGACCAGTGGCCATGATCTTAGTTTTTTTGATGTTGAGTTTAAGACTGTTTTTTGCACTCTCCTCTTTCACCCTCATTACAAGGTTCCTTAATTCCTCCTCACTTTCTGCAATCATAGTGGTATCATCTGCATGTCGGAGGTTGTTGATATTTCTTCCACAATCTTAATTCCGGCTTGGGATTCATCCACTCCTGCCTTTCACATGACGCATATAAGTTAAATAAGCAGCCTTCTTTGGCACTGCCCTTCTTTGGGATTGGGATGTAGACTAATCTTTTCCAGTCCTCTGGTCACTGTTGAGTTTTCCAAACTTGCTGGCATATTGAATGCAGCACCTTAACAGCATCATCTTTTAAGATTTTAAATAGTTCCACTGGAATGTCATCACCTCCACTGGCCTTGTTGTTAGACAAGCTTTCTAAGGCCCACTT